ATGGACATCGAATGCAGCAGGATGATAGAAAACTTCAAGTGACTGACCTTGCGTGGCAATTCCAGCAGAGCTTCCAAATGGGTCAGATTCTTCGGTTTAAGTCACTTTTGTTTCTCTCATCCCTCTAAACGAGGGTGTTGCTCCAGCTGTTGGGGACAGGGCTGTCAGCAAGGCGGGTTATAGGAACAGGCTATGTCTTCGGTGAGATGAACTGATATATTTAGAAGAAATGGATGTGTTTTGGACACTGAGGGTTTCTGACATGAAAGAAGAGCTTGTATGTCCGGGATCAGCCCTGTTCCTGTAATAAGGATCTCATCACCTCCCAGAAAATCCTTTTAAGGCAGCATGGGCAATGGCCAACCCCATCTCCGAGCAGGACTGATTGAGTTACCTCGCAGGAGGACATCACCTCTGCTCTCGCTCCGGAGGAAGATGGGCAATAATGAATAAGTAATGTCACTGCTTGAAACCGCTCATGTTTCCATAGGATGCTGTGAGCTGTGCTGTAGGGTTTTCATCCAATACGCGCAGCGCTGAGCCCCACGGCCTTGCACCTGCACAGCCAGGACACTATTACACCTTTGTGTCCCGTTTCTTGTAGGCAGAGATTGCCACTGATGCATGAGCTGCCCTTAATCCCCTCCCCAGCTTTTCCACCCCTTGCTTTGTAGCATTTAGTTGTAGCTCTCTGCGTGGGACAAACAGAGCTCGTTAGGACTCCTTAGTAGCTAACAGTCGTATAATTAGCAAATCAACATCACTCAGTGGTATCTATGCACCAAATCTATCCGCCAAATCGTGCTGCGGCATCTGCCCCAGCACAACGAGCATAACCAGCAAGAACGGCCAACAGGGAAGGCAAGAGGGGCCTGGGTTAAGTTACCCCAGGAAAGTGCAGGGGAACCCACTGCTGCAACGTGGAAGATGCTCGTCTGGCATCCATCCATCGCAGCGCAGGGGATGCTCGTTTGACGTCTATCCGCCACAGTGCAGGGGATGCTCGTTTGACGTGCATCCGCCGCAGCACAGGGATGCTCATCCCGTGTCAGTCTACTGCAGTGCAGGGGATGCTCGTCCATCGCTTCTCTGTCCTGCCATGAACTAGAAGCACTTTCCCTTTCCCTCCCTTTTTTTTTTTTTTGCTTTTTTAATCTTTCCCAAGATTAACTTTCCCCATCATGAGCCCTGTCTATGAATAAGCATTCGTGCCTGTGAGCCCGGCTCGGCACACCTGGTGGGAGAACAGCGTGCCCTCCCCAGACCAGCAGTCCGCTCCTCCTCTGCACGCCCGCCCTGTCAGCAGCACCAGACTCCCACCGAGCACTGACCGCTGTCTCGGAGAAGCAGCTCCCCTTGAACGCACCTTCCCTTGCCTCAATCCCGCTGTGCCGCATACTCGCCTGCCAAAACCACAAACTGCTGGAGGCACCTCATACTGTTAGCTAAACATTCACTGATACCCGCTGGCATCGCTCAGCGATACCATCGCTATCAATCCCTGCGCTGCTACCGTTTCACCTTGCACATTTCTTATCAAAATGCCCAGCATCAAAGCAATCCCAGGAACAGGCCTCCGCGATTCCCATCGCTCCAACAATCCTACCATTGATTCGCTAAGCCAAGGTCAGCCTGAACTTCCCATACACAGGACATTTCAATGTACTTTTCCAAGGACCAGGCAAAGTGCTACAGACATCGTCTCTCCCATGATTCATTGCTGCATGCCAAGAAAAAAAAAATCTTAAATAAATTGGCCTCCCATGAGCCCTATTTTTTTTCCAGCTGCATTGCTTAAAACCGTAATGTACTCAGCTACAATTTTCGTGGTTGGATTTAGTGATTCAGTCAAGGCCAGCGCTTCCGCAGCTCTCCTCTCTGTGTGACTGAATGTGTCTCCTTGCTATTAAAACACTGCATGAATATTACCTAGAAATCATCTGCTCCTGCAGCATAGGGAGCAAGGCCAGAGCCCCATCAGCTTTTACGAGGAATCTGTGAGCTCTGGGACGAGCACTTAATTAGTCTCAAAATCCTTCCTTTGTCAACTGAAGCAAACCCATTTTGGGAGGCTCCCAAAGCTGTGCTCCTTCATAACACCGTACGTTTCCGTACCCCTCCCAGCATCCTCAGCGGCCCAGCACAACTCCCTGCTGTGGATGAGCTCTTCAAGCCAAGCTGGAGCCATGGGTCCCATGGAGACACCCAACCAGCCCAAAGCCATGGGTCCCAAGGGGACACCCAACCAGCCCACCCAAAGCCAGGGGTCCCAGGGGGACACCCAACCAGCCCAAAGCCATGTGTCCCAAGGGGACACCCAACCAGCCCGCCCAAAGCCATGGGTCCCATGGGGACACCCAACCAGCCCGAAGCCATGTGTCCCAAGGGGACACCCAACCAGCCCGCCCAAAGCCATGGGTCCCATGGGGACACCCAACCAGCCCAAAGCCATGTGTCCCAAGGAGACACCCAACCAGCCCGCCCAAAGCCATGGGTCCCATGGGGACACGGGCCCCCCAACCCGCCCGGAGCCATGTGTCCCAAGGGGACACCCAACCAGCCCGCCCAAAGCCATGGGTCCCATGGGGACACCAGTCAGCCTGGAGCCATGGGTCCTGTGGGGACACCAGCCAGCTTGGAGTCGTGAGTCCCGTGGGGACAAGCCCAGGTGCTCTGGCGCCGGGGGTCCCAGGTTGCCCCAGGGAAGGAGCGGGTGCCCGTGGCGCAGAGACCTTGAGCCAGCTGCCACAAGGTGGCACTGGTAACTTGTCACCCAGCAGTGTGGCCTCAAGCCCGAGGCCCCAGGGTGGGGGCACCCAGGGCATCCCCCCAGCCCTGCTGCAGGCTCTGGTCCGAATTTAACTGTAGGAACAGACAGGAGGAACTGCCGATGGACAGAAAATCGGGTAAATAACAATCACCACAGGAGCTATGTCTTGCAGGAGCGTTTTTCCCCCTTAGGGTCTTCTGGATTAGGAAAAAAGCAGCATTTTAACTTTTTTTTATGACATGCCACCCTGTAACAGACTTGTCCCAGCCTGGTCACAGCAGCAGAAGGGACTCTGGGGTCATGCCAGCCTCCCCAACTCCCGGGAGGGCTGGTGGCCGTCAGGAGAAGCAAAAAGACCACATCACCGGGGGGGTTTTGGGGTACCATGCTCACCATTCAGCACCCGTCCCATCACGGGGACCCTCATCCTGGCCCTGGCGTGAGCGGCTGCTCCATAGCTTATCCCACCAGAGCAGCCGGTGTTAGAAGAGGACAAACACCACGGAGGTGGAGAAAACCCAAGTGCGATGTGTGCTTGCACAAACCAACCTGGCAGAGGGTTGCTCTCTCGGCTGTCCCCTCCTGGCCCAATTCCTCTGATTTATTTGCAGATAAAGGGTTTATTTTCCTTTCCCAGCACTGCAACTGCAAGACAAACACGGCGAAGCCTCTTGAGCTACTTCCTGCTCAGGCCAGGTGCCGTGGGACGTTGGTGGCGTTTGTCCCCGTACCTCTGGAAAGCCCCACCGGCATCACACACCCCGGCTCAGAAACCACAACAGGCTCAGCCCCAGAGCGAGCAGCCCCCGAGGGCTCCCCAAAACCCCCTGCCCTCACTTTTGTGTCCAAGCCGAGGGCATGGGAAATCAGGAATTGGTCACGGAGCTGCTGCAGCCATTCCGGTGCCTCCGGTGCCAAGGTTTCCAGCCCTACCCCAAACGCGCTCACATCCAGTATTATTTTTTGGATTAGGGTTTGGCGTCACTGTTTGGGCTCAGGCATCGCAGCCGTGTTTAACCTTCGAATGCAGGCGGAAAGGCCCCTGTGGGTCAGCTAATCAAGCTGCAATTAAAGACATTAATTATGCCGTTATTAACAGGTTAAGACATACGAGGGACTGGGTCACTGGCACTGTCCCATAGCCTGTTTTGAAGGACGGGGACGTTTACTGTCCTGGACACCGGCCACTCCACAGACCAGTCCTAAATGCAACCAGTTTAATAGCGGAGCCGAAGCCAAGGAGCCCAGCAGGACCCGAGAACATCCCCTTCCCGTCCGCCGCTGCGCCCTCACCCCGTGGAAAACACATTTGGGACCTGCAGTACAAAAGGCCAAAGCTACAGTCGACAGCAGGAAGGAAGCAGGAAAAACTTCGGCATCACCGTCCGGAGCCCGGAGAGACTTTCGGGGACGCGCGGAGCCGGATGCCTCCGGCCAGGCTCAGGCCATGCTCACAGCGTGTGCCCGTGGCTCGAGCGATGCTCCGCAGCTGGCAGTGGGGAGAAAGCATCTCGTGTCCTGGGATGGGGGCTGCGATGCCACCAAGGCGTTGCCCTTGATGCCCCCTCGGCAGCACACAGGGAGCAGGTTTAGCCCTCGCAGCATTCCCTGGGCTCTGGCGGCCAGGGCAGGGCACCGGCACGAAGGGGTGCCCCATGGATATCCCCCGACACTGACTTTGCTCGGAGAAGAAACAAACACAACCCCACTGGAAACCACCACCTCCTTTAATTCCCCGCCACAAAAGCGGGGCCCAGCCCGGCTCAAAAATTACAGGGTTTTAGCACCAGAAAAACCCACTAGCCCATGTCACGAAGCTGCTGGCCGCCCACGGAGGTCAACGCTGGCTGATCTGAGCGTGAAAACGGTGAATTTTTCTTCCTGAAGACCCCTTCCAGCCTCGGCAGGCCACGGTGGGAAAGGAGCTGCCTCTGCCATCCCCATCCCCCCGGGGCTCAGCCGAGGTGGGTCTGCGGGACCGGGACCTGCCTGTGGGTCGCACCCTGCCAGCTCCTGCCAGACGGGAGCCGTGTCCTGGCCAGGACGTCCCCACGCTGCTCACACCAGGGCTGAACACCTCCATGGGAGCATCAGGGAGGGGGTTTCCCAGCAGCTTTGGGGTCGGGCCGGCCAGAAGCGCTGCCTCACCCCACAAACAGCGGGATGCACAGCAGCGACGTGACCCCCCCAAACCCACGGGCTCCCAGGGGACACAGTGTCGGGGCCGGGCTCAGATCATGGAGACCCTGTTTTTGATGTAGACGTGGTACGGGTCGCTTCGCTTGTCTACTTTGCGGGAGCGGGTATAGCCCAGGATGAGGCTCCCCACCGTAGCGGCGAAGAACTACAAAAATGTACTCTGAGCATCGTTCTCCTTCACAGGTGTTTTCCATCTCTGCCTATAGGACCACCGCTTAGAAACACATATGGCGTGGCGTTCGGCGGGGCAGAGGATGACCCCATGAAGTGTCTGGTTCAAAGCATTAAGCACCGCCTGGAGGCTTTGGTGCCAGGTCTCCGTCCGGTTGTCCTCCTCCATGTCCTCGCCCAGCCTGCGGGGAAGGACAGGGAAGCTCAGCCGGGGCTGCCCTCGTGGCGGCAGTGACCCCAGGATGATGCCGGGAATGTTCTGCCAGACCCAAAAATGCCCCAAAATGGTCCTTGAAGCACCTCTTCTGCCACACAGCAAGGGTAGAAGCAGGGGTATCCAAGCCCTTTGCATTCGCAGCAGCCCCCTCCCCAAATTTCACTCCCTCCACAGATGGAATAAAAGCCCCAGAGCTTCGGGGGCTCCTCTCCCCCCCTCTCCTCCTCAGGGCTGGGGACAATGGGGGGACACAGCTGTCCCAGGGGACCGGGACGGTTGAGTTCAAAGCCTGTTTCCCCCAGGGATGTGGGGGATTGGTGGGAACCACCAGTGTCCTGCACCCTTGCAGGGTGCAGAGCTAGCACCCAAGCGACCCCGGACTGTCTGGGGGCCCCCATCCTAAATAACAGCTCCAGGACCGATCCTGCCGTGCATCAACCCCACTCGCTCCAGGCCAGGTCCCCCGGGGTGAGCGGGGGACCCCCTTTTTTCCCCAGGGCCAGGAGCCACGACCACCTTGGCAGGGGGACACAGCGCCCTACGTGCCCCCATGGACACATCCCGAGGGGTCGCTGCCCTAAACCCCCCCTGGGGATTTCCCTCCCCACCGGTCGCAGACCCCCTCTAACTCCCCCAGGACACAGTGCCGCTCTGCCAGCCCACCCCGGACCTCCCGTGTCCTTTTGCACCTTCGCACCTCGCCGGGGCCGCGGAGGAGGCACGGACAGGAAGGGACATGGGGACACGCTCCCCCACGTGTGCCATCCTTGGGGACACACCGGTCCCACAAACCGCCGTCGTCCCCCGGGGTATCCCTCCCGTCCCCTCTAAGTTCCCCGGGGTATCCCTCCTGTCCCCCCCTGCTCCTGAGCACCCCGTGCCTGCAGCACCAGCAGCTCTGCCCCATGCGGAGGCATCCCCCCCTCCCCTCCCCAAAGGGTCCCCCCAAACCCAGGGTGCACCTCCCAGGGCGAGACCCCCCCCAGCAAGGAGGAGAAAAGGGCTGCGCAGCCACGACCCCACGGTGATGGGCTCAGCCCGGGCTGTCTGCCCACCTTAGAGACAAGTTTGAAGCAGGAGATGGCTGAACTTGGGAGATTTAGGGCAATATCTGGGTTTATCCCCAGAGACGACCCACAGATGAGGTGCAGCACTGGGGGGGACCCCGCGTTAGTGGGGTGGAGGGGAAGGGTGGGGAGGCGGACGGGTGGGAAAGGGGGGTTCACACTCACCCAGGGGTGCCCTCCCTGCCTGCGCTGCTGCCAGGCTGAGCCGGGACTGGAGCATCGCGGGGCGGCGGGGAGGGATGCCGGCCAGGCTGGGAGTGCCGCGCTGCCTCCTCCCCTTCCCGGGGCAGAGCCACCTGCCAAAGCCACCCCAGCCCTGACACAGGGCCACCAGCCTGTCCCCCCAACCCTACAGGTCCCCGCTGTGTCCCCCTCACCCTGGCCGGATACTGGAGGCCTTATGAAGCTGGGAGAGCGGGATCCTGCGTTTCCCTCCCGGCACACGCTGCCGGTCACGCTTTCCTGTCCCTCCTCTGTCCGTCCCCGCTGTCCCCGAGCCCTCGCACCGGGCACCAAGCTTGCCCAGGGCACCTTTATCCCCACTCGCCATCCCCTCCCCAGAGCCGAGCCAGCTCCGGGAGATGGGGTTTTCCTCTTCCAGCCCCATTGCTCCCAGCTTTGCCCACCCAAAATGCCCAGGGGCTGTGGGTCCCATGGGTACCTTAAAGCTCGTGGAGCAGAAACGCAGCCCGGAGCAGCGGTAAGTGGCTGCGGGTGGGGGTCAGGTCCTGCTCTGAGCAGGGCACGGGGACTTTATTTGCCATTTTCCTCTTCTCCTGAGCCCAAAGCACACATCTGGCTGCGGGGCTGCTCCCAGCTGCCCGTGATCAGTGCCTCCAGCATGGGCACGGGGACTGCCAGCAATGGGGGTGATTCAGAAGTGGCCGTGGCCATGCCATGTACCAACAGGGAAAGGTTTTGGGGAGCCCAGACCGGGTGCTGCTCCTTCTGCCCACACACCGAGAGAGCTGCGAGTATCCCCGAGGGACACCAGGCAGCTCCGGTGAGCTCAGGCTCAGGCTGGCTTCTTATCCCTCAAGTAACTTGTCGATTAAAATCAGTTTGTGTGTGTCTACCCACAGGTTTGCATTGACGGGCACGGACCCCGGTGCCATCAGGACCCCAGGGTGGACGCGTCCCTTCGCCCGGAGGAGCTGACACCGCCTGCACAGACTACGGCAGCACCACAGACCGAGCGGGAGAAGGTCCCCGTCACCCACCCAGGACACTCAATCCCATACTGTGTGGTCCCACAGGGGCTGGGATGGCTGTGGCTCCTCTCCTCATGTGCCCCAACACCTTCCCCTCCTTCTCCCGCCTTCCCACCCCATCAGCATCGCTCCGGTGGCCTTTTAACCATTGTTTACAGCCTCTTATCAGCAATTTTTCTACCCACACCTACACCACAGCGAGGATCTTGGCCATGCGAGGACTCCTCCAGGTGCAGGGCAAGAAAAACATCGTTATTCATAAAGTCTTGGGGTAAATCAACGGGCAAAGGGTCAGCAGCCAAAGTTCTCAGCAACTCTCTTTACAGGAAACCTGTCTCTTTATGCGCCGATGAGAGGATACTCAACCAACCGGTCCCTCGTCCTTTTGTCCAAAGGGCGTGCGAGCGTTCATCTGAATTTTGGATTTTTTGAGGGACAGAGGTAGAAAAACGCCACAAAAGTGCCCGTTTGGACATTTCCCCAGCGAGCGACAGGGACATGGTACCCTCGGAGGTCTCTGCCGAGGGATGGAGACCTGGGGCGCTGGGGAGAGCAGCCCCGACGGAGATTTGGATGTTTAAGCAACAGCGCAAACCTCCATGCCACCGTTCACGCATGGTCTATAGGTAAAGGCACACAAGCTCTTGGCTTGCAACGAAGCCCCAGGCGGCTGCCACGCCATTCATCACCCACACCGAGGGGCTGCCGAAACACCCAGCCGAGGCGCTGAGTCTCTCCTAGTCCCCGGGGTCTTCCGAAAAGACCAAGGTGCAGTCAAACACCTCCTGGAAGGAGTCGAGGAAGGGTTCGAGGACGTTGTCGACGGTAACGTGCCGCCCCAGCTCACGGCTCAGCGAGGTGACGCCTTTTCCCTCCAACCCGCAGGGGACGATGTGGTCGAACCAGGTGAGGTCGGTGCAGCAGTTCAGCGCCAGCCCGTGGGAGGTGATGTGGTTGCCGCAGTGCCCCCCTGGAGGGGGGGGGGGGCAAAGCACCCACCCATCAGCACCCATCCCCAGGGATGCTGCGGTGTGAGATATTTAGTGACCGCGCTGCTCAGGCCACTATAAACCACCCCTGCATGCTGTGCTCCCTGCTTCTGCCAGGAAAAACCCCTAACCCACTGGCAGACTCCCCAAATTTGGGGCAGATGGGGTGCGGCGTGTCCAGCTCCCTCCAACCCAGCCCCAGCACCCCCCACCACGGGAGTTTCAAGTGGGCTCAGGCACGGGGTTGTGGTTCAAAGGGGGGGGGGTCCGGGCTGCAGGATCCGACTTGGGATGCAGGGCTCCGGGAAGGGGTGCAGGGACTGCCCGGCTTGCAGGGGAACAGCACGGGGCCTGGGGAGGGGGACAGGGGAAGGGGGCAAGGCTGGGGACCAGGGGGCAGGGGAGGGGGGACAAGGCTGGGGGCGAGGGGGCCGGAGGAGGGGACT